TATATATTTGTACAAAATCTTTTTTACTTTATGAAAACTTATTATGACGTCTTGAAGTTTAATTGACAAATTCAAATCAAATGCAAATAGTTTTGGAAAGTATTATTCCTTATTAAATGATCAGTTCAAGTTTTAATTTCGATATTACATAGTTAAATTATCACTTTAAAAGATAATCATTTTATATTTCATGCTTTTTTCCGCTCTCTCATCATAACAATCACAAAATGAAAAATATCATGCAAAATAAAAATTGCACATTATCATTATTATGATTATTAATCACTATTATTATATTCTATGTCGATAGCGTTATCCGACTGCGATGATATTTTTGCCGTATAATTTCTGTAAGTTTAATCATTCTGAGTTTATATTCAATTATTTCAATTTTGCCGATATAAATTTAAGCCTATTTTTTTGTGAAAGATACGTATGCGATTTATGTAATTTGTGCCTTATAATATTGATTTTACATTAATTATAATCATTGTTATTCAAATGTTGGATACAATCAGAACTACCAATAAAAGATACATCCCTTATTAATTGTAAATAAAAATTAAAATTCCATCCAAAATAAAACACGAAAAATTGATCAAAAATTAAAATATAAATCAGTAATCGGTTAAAAAACTTACAAATCTTGCAATATTTATAGCTATACATATTTTTTTTCCTAGAGAGGAAGAAAATAATGGATAAGATGAATAATTTAGGAGTCGTTGAAGTTGTTAATATGCAATTTAGAATTGCTCATTGACCTTCACATCAACGATTCCATGTGTTTGTTTTGACCCAAGAAATATTAATGTATTTCATCTTTCGGCTTCTTCCAAGAATGATAGGAAGGAAATAAAATTTCTTGACTAATTTTCTTGAAACTTTGTTATCTTACGATTAATCCGGAATTATTCGAATTCTCCCAGATTACACCTCGCATCGGAAGTTATAATCTTCTTAACAAGCTTCTTTACTTGACAGCAAAGAAATTAGAACTTCTGGATGGCAAAAGTACGATTTAATACAAACTTATAATCCCTTTTGATTGCATTTAACAATTAAATACAATTTTCCTTTTCTCTTAATTGATAAAAGCCAGAATTTTCAAAGAGTTAGTAGAATTGATAAATGAGCTCTTGCAAAATTTTTTCATCTTTTACAGGAATTCAAAAAGTTTCAATAAAAATTTTTGATCTAAGGTTTAGAATTATTCAAAAATTTCAATAATAAGTATTTGTCGAAAAACGAAGACAAAAGCATTAGTATTATCCAAATGATGTGGATAGAATTATACCAAATTGTTGCATAAAATTAATTTTGGATCGAAAAAAATCGTATGGTGTAATGGACAATAAATACGGTACATCTACTAATGACAGAAGAATTAATCTCTATCATATGGGTAATCGTAGTAGGATAATCCTTGAGGCAAACAAATCATTCTCATATGTTTTGCATTTAAACAATTATAAAAAAGAAAAAACGCACATGATTAGCACAACTTGCTAGCTATAATAATTCAGAAGAAAGTGTGATAAAAGAAGAGGAAGATTTGTGATTATCAAATGAAAAAAAGAAAACATTTAGCATCTGATAAAATAAAAGTTAGCATCCTCAACGCATAATTTTAGGAAAAAAGAAATAGACAAACTTGCACAATTACGAAAGAAACAAACAATATAAACTGGCAACAATTCGATAGTTCACGTAATGTCATCCCTTTTATCCTTTCAGCATACTGTGAATGTCTAATGTGATATTCGGCTTTTTGTATTGCACATTTCCTGAGAATAAATTTGTAACAAATTTTGCACTGAACCAAGTCATGGAAGGATCAAAAGAGAAGCTATCATGTGATGTGGAGCAGATTATAGTAAACAATGAATAGTGACATAACGGACACAAATCTTATAGCAAACAACAAATATTAGCGTAATATACGAAAAAATCCTATATCGTTCCACTTTAGCTAATTTTTGAAGGTATTTTTATTGCGTTTAGCAAAGACACAAATGAATCATTAATTTTGACGGAAAAATAAAATGGAATAAATTTCCTATGAAATCTTTTAATAGTATGACATTTCATTGTCCAATCGAATATATTTATTAAGGTTTCGTCTTGTGAAATTAGAACACGTTGATGATCTCAATTAAAGTTTCATTTGCTTTTTATGATGAATAAAAAGCAAAAATGAAATTTCAGCTCTAACTAGATTAATACAAAAAATCTAAAGAGTACTTTAAAGTTCACCCGAACAGACAAGAAAAGTCACAAAAAGGGAAAGATTCCTCGGCCACAACAATTATTCAATAAATTAAAGAAAATTTTCAAGTTTCTATCATTTATACAATTGCTTCTTTAAGCTCAATCAAATTTCATACTATAAAATCATCATCAAAAGGCTAAACAAAGATCACCAATGCTATGCATAATAAATATATCGAAAATGATCGTTCAAAATTATGCGACATATTCATAGCAACGATGATCGTTTTTGTCACGAGCCAAATAGTCACGTTCAATCAGTGATTCAATTCGTTTCTTGATTAGCTGTGGATTGGGCATGAAACGATGCTTCAGTTGTTGTGTTACCTAAATTTAAGTAAACCAAGCTTTAACAAAATAGAAAGAAGTCAATTCAATCAAAATATGAAAGTTTTTTAGCTTGAAATAAATAGTTATTACAAATAAATCAAGAATTTCGAAACGATATAAGCAAGAAAATAGAAAGCACGCCAAAAATGCAGAGTTAACATCTCATCATGGGCTACTCATTTATGAAAATTATTGACGCTGTGATTTGACAGTTGCAAACTAATCCGGCATAATGGCAATTTCTTTGTCTTTCTTTTTTACAGTAGCAATATGTTTAAAAAGTGGAATCACATGAGAAAATGGATTGAACAGTCAGACAATGCCAACCCAACCAAAAAAAGCATGACCGTTAAAGATCGAAGGAAAATGCCACCTTAGAACAGGAAAAATTCAGAAAGCAAAAGAGGCCCAAAAATAGTAACAAACTTCTGCAACCAAAACATTGTGCAATAACTGCTTCCTTGCTTTCATTACTCGCACAACAGCTGCTTCAACCTCATGTTTTCTATCTTCATCGATCTAGAAGAATTATCACCATTAAAAAACGGAAGTCTATAAGTTTCGGAATAAAATTAATAATTTTATTAATTCATTTTCTGTACAGAAAAGTTGAAATCGTCATGTTTGATTACTGCATTTTTAAATAAAAGGAAAATAAAAATAAAAAGATGAGTCACTCTAGAACGTGTTTCTTTTCTTTCTGGTTCAGCTTCCGCTCTACCCGACACCATTTGAATTTTTATTCTTGTAAGTTTCGAAGTAAATGCATCGTTCACCCAAAATTCATCACTGCTTTCTATAAAAATATCCATTTTATGGTCATCAACTAGCGGTGCTATTAATTTATAGGTGATAAGGTTTAAGAATCTATATCTGTTGAAGTGCATTTCAGGAACCGATTCAAAGTTATAATCCCTGCTCACGTTATTATTTAGAAATAAACATTTTTCAGTCGTGCTGCTACACGTTATAATGCTAAAATAAATAATCCTACTAAAGTAAAAAATTTTTTAAACTAACCGATTTCCCTCCCATGTCCTTTCCGACATAGAATTCTTTGGGTTGGTTTTCCCATTGCCAAAGAAAGCAGCGAGCGTTTTAATTCCTTGTCGGGAATTTGAGTTTCAGATGCCAATTCCTTAAAGTTCCTTGATACAAAAGTTAAAAATTTTATCCATACAAGAAGAGATAATAAGAAATCCATATGGCAATAACGACTCGAAATTCGAGGACGATTTCTATTAAATAAGAATGCTTAAAAATCTATATGGACAATGTTTAGAAAAATTACATGATGAACACTGATAATGTCTGAAAATCGTACGATTAAATAGTGAACATATTTAGTGTTGTGGAACGGAAAATGATTCTTATAGAATTGTAGGTTACATTTACATATAGTCAAATCATGTTTCGTCAAGAAAAAGGCAAATTCAATTAATATTTAAACAGGAGCCAGAACATGCAAATTTTCAAGCTGAAATGATATATATAACACATGAAAAACATTTCATTATTATTAACGCTTACCTCGAAAGTTATTTTAACTTTATTATTGAACCTGAGCAAAACACACATTTGATAGGTGCTCACAGTCAAAATTTTGTGTTCTTCTTTGCCACGTGGAGCAACTGATGGTCCGGCAAGATCCGATTCCTAAAAATAAATTATAAAAAATGCAAATGGAACAAACATTTTTTCATTCAAAAATATAATAAGTTCAATTATGCATGTAAAAAGAGAAAGAAGTAGCAGTAATGAACGAATAAAAAAAATCAATAAAAAAAATCTTAATGACAATAACTTAATCCATTTCTTGCTGAAAAAGAGTTATGTAATTCTAGAACGCACAAATATTATCAACTTCATGCACATCACCTGCTGGCTTAATTCCTCCACATTAGCATTTGTTCCGTAGAAGACAGCTTTAACATCGGCATGACCAAGCATAGGATTTAGCGAAATCTTACGACCGTTATGTTTGCCAAGATAAAATGTCCTAAAACTTTCAAAAGCCTGAGCTGCCACTGGCGGTAGTATACAATCCGGAGCAGCTTGCGTCGGCCAATAACCACTTGTTAATACTCGTACTGTTATGTCCACTGAATCGTGTGCCTGATGAAAAATCTCATTTAATCATTTCAGTAAGATAAAGTCATTAGATTACCATAGGAAAACTTACACCTTCCGTTTTTTCTTTGTAGTCTCGAAAATCTCCCATCAAAATATTTGATAATTCAATATCTTTGAACATCCCTTCTAACTTCGATGTAAACTGGCAACCACATTCCGTCTTAAAAACAAATGAATGAAATGCAAAATGAGAACACATTACTGGTAAAAGAAAAACCTAATTTTTATGCAATATATACCAAATATTAGTCCACCGAGTCTCATATCATTCACAATTTCCCAAATCTCAATTAATTTCATTCTTCAACTAGGGAAATTGCCACTAACAATGAGAAATTACTCATCAATTATTTTCGGCACAATTTTCATACCTTCAACTTCGAAACCATAGCTTTTTCTGCATCATCCGACATACTCTTCTGCAGAAGTAAACGTTTAGCTAAATGCGATTTGTAATATCTGAAAAAAAAAACACAATGTATAGCAATCAACCAAATATCTTTTTATTGGAAGAAACAAATTATGTTGAAGAAAATTGTTTTTTCTACCGTTCAAAAACATCCTTCTCTTGAAGAAAACGGAATAGCACCATAGATTTATCTTGCAGTGATTCTTGCTCACTTTCGTTCATCTGAATTAAAGAACAGAATTATTTCACATATTTGCGATATACTTCTATATGAAATGTAACTTGAAGTGAAAAGTTAATGAATAAACACTTTTATTAGCTCTGATCCAATTTAATCAAAACAGCATTCGGCTTAACTGAAACAAGCAAAATGCTTGCCTAAACATCCTTTTATAGAATTTCAAAAGAAAAAAAAACCCCAAATACCAGTTTCATTCCTTTCTTTAATTTATCATCCATGTACAACGACAGATATTCCGGACTTTTTGGATTCAAGTTAAGGAAATATTCGAAATCGCTCTGTATTTTTTGTTTAAATGTTTTGTCGTTATCAAAAGCATCCAATAAGAAATGATCAAATTGATTCTTGAGATCCAGCAATGCCTAAAAAATTTATTTCTTAGATTCTGTAAGAAGGTACTAAATGATAATATTTGATGTTAAGGTTGCAATTCAATATGTCACTTGAATAATAAGAATTGCTGACCTGAATATAGTGAATTGGATTTTTCAATGTGCCAGCTTCACGGTCACCACCTTCACCGACCAAAAATTCACCTTTTCTTCGAAGATATCTGCTAATGCAATCAGTCATCGTTGGTAGTCCTTTCTTTACTCGTTTCAATAAAATATACAAACGCCGTAAATCTAAAAAGTACTACATTGTAAAAATAACAAATAATAATATCTGAATTCAGAGCAGTCTGATGAACCAAATGAAAGTTTCAGTGAGGGAAGAGACACAGCTATATTTCAAAGTATAACATTTGTGTTACCATGAATGCGATCATTATTGAGCATGTGTACAACACCACTATTATCCATTTCAACGATTGTCATCATATGTTTATTAATCAGTTCTTCGTCCAAAACCTTTAAACAAACAAACCATCTCATACTTCAAGACAAAGATTTGTTTGTAAGAGTTGTTACTTCCTAATTTAGAAGTAAGAGAAATGGAATTTTTGACAAATTGAGAGCAGTTTCAGTTTTATTAGAGATTTCACGGCTGATTGTTCGATTTCATTTGAGTGAAAAGAAATTTTTTTCCTAAATGGTTATAAAAAATTGAAATGCAAAATAAATCTCGACGCATGAAAAACAGTTCATATTGTGTTGCTAACTAAAAAATACAAGTTGCATACCTCAAGAATTTTTTGTTCTGTTCCTTTATCCAAATACATTTTTGCCCGATTTGACTCCTCCATTAAGCATTCTTCCACTTTTTTAACATAAACCGATGCGCAGTTTTCGAGTAAAAAATTTTGACTTTCTGCACGGTAATATTCTGCCGAAACACGTAAAAACGGTTCTTCAAATTCTTCCTCATAAACGCGTCGCGAATCGACACCCAGTGCTACCAGCATATTGCATGCATTTTTCACTCCAATTCTGCAAAAAAATATGCAGATAATTTAAATGATATAAAACAGTGATCGAATTTTGAAATAAAGATTATTCGAACAATTAGTGAATTAAGTAAAATTAAAAATATAGGAAAAAGTTTGATTGGTTTTACTTAAACGAACATTTCGGTTTTTTTAGTCCATCGCCAACGTAATTTTATGTAATTTGAATTTCAAGACTATAAGAGAAGAAAAAAAAAATACCTATTAATAATTTCACCTCCCCGCTCAGCAGCAATCATTTTCAGCAATATATTACGCAAAGTGTCGCCTAGTGTTCCATATCTAATTATTTCATCACGAAATAATATAAGACCCAAGTTATAAACGGGATCAACATTTTGCTGTTGTACATAAACTCGATCCATATACCTGAAATTAGTTAGCTTAGAAAAAAAATCATGTTGTAAAATAAAACTGTCTTTTCCCCTCAGCTTAATAATATCCAATACTTCACTTATTTAATGATCCAAGACTTTCAGCTAGAAAGAAATAATATTCATTAATAAAATATTGAAAACAACTGACATGAGAATATCTCTAATCATGACCATAGCTATAATGTGATCTTGCCATGCTGTATTCAACACTTCTAGAAAACTACTATTAACTGCTGCTAAGACTTGGTTTCTGACCTGAAAAAAATGATAATGTAAGAAAAAGACAACAGCGAAAAAAAACTAACAGAGTTAGAAATATTAAAATTAATACAAAACGGTACAATCTACAAAAATATTCAGTAAAATGGAAAATACCTATATGATAATGGATAAAATTAAAATTTCATCCAATTGTGTTTTTAATTTAATTTATAGTTAATCAAAATCAAAATTTCATAGCAAATCAAGAATTCAAACCGTTGTTTGCAAATGTTCGATAACCACTTGTTTCAGACCTGAATAAAGTTTATCACCGTGCTTATGTAATACCATCGTATAGGCATTACGATAAAGTTCTTCGAAACTGAGACCAGAATTATTTTTTCGTTGAATCTCTTGAATGGCACGCTTCAACAAATCCCATGTCTGCTGCACATATTTTTCGTCCATTGTTGTCTGCAAATAGGATTACTGTTATCGAGAAGTCCTGCTAGGGTTTTCCAACTCAATTTTTGAAATGGATCATCAAATGCTTAGCAAAGTAAGTTTTCGTTCCAAAGCTTACGTTCGTCTATTTTCCAACTGCAAACAAAGTATGCCTCAACCTTTTTGAGATCTAATCTTCCAAGTAATGAAACTTTAAACTAGGTTCTGAAATCTAAACAAAACTGAAAAATAAGAAAGATAAACAGAGAATGAAGTGATAATTTAAGAAAACTGGAGGATAAGCGAATGAAATATTAAATAAAATCCATCAAACGCTTGATAAATGCAGACAATTATGTCTCATGATTTCAACTCATCATCTCTTCGAAGTTAATTTAGGATCTACCGTTAGCTGTTGTCTATGACATGATGCAGTGTGGTCATCATGAGCAGTTAATTCCTTAAGAAGTTCTTTAATTGCATTAAACTGTGAATCCATTTGCAATAAGACAAATCGATGAGTAAATTTCTCGAACAGCCGCACAAGCAAACGATAATTTCAAATAAAAATAAGGCTAGTAAATTCACTTTATTAAATAAATAAACTTTGGGATTTTTTCTGCATAATAATGCTAAACACACTGTGAACTGTACTCAGTTTTTAAATGCAAGAAAATCTCGATAAAATCTGCTGAAATTAAGAAATACGATAAGTATAATATTAAAATCATTTTCAATTGAATTCATTTTCAATGGATGAAGATCATCTTCAATGAATTAGTTACGGTATAGCAGTCTTTTAAAATCACTTTAAAAAACGTTTAAGTAAGTGAGAGCAATAACTTCAATGTAACAAAAATTCATCATAAGATAAACCTGTCTAGTCCCACATATTTCTTTAAACAAAAATGTCCTTAATAAAACCTAAAAAACTATATTTTGCATACCGGAAAAGCTCGAATCCGCATTTTGTTGCCCGATGGACCACCAGCACCGCCACCAGCACCACCATTCGGAGCGCTTCTTGATGGTGTCGGTCTACTCATTCGTGAAACACTGAAAATCCTCAACAATTTAATCAACATTAACGCTTAAAAAAGAATAAATACGAATGAGGAACACCTGACAATCTGGTTTTTTCCGACAATAATAACAGAACTCGTATTAATCAATATCCTTCCTTTAAGATAACATAAAAAATTCGATCATGAATTAAAAGTACTACTGCATATAAAAAGATATTATAATATCATTTTACGAGTTCTTTTATTCTTTAACCATACGAGTCGACTCCCATAACATTACGATAGTTTTTTTTTAAGACGTAACGGTAGGAATAGCAGTTTGACATGTTTTGACATGTAAATTTACACTTTTTTCAAATCGAATTCGGAAAAACCTTTAATCTCAGAAAGTTGACACGTTAAATCGTAAAATTTGAATCATACGCATAGTGCACATTAACGTAAATATGTTTTGATGATTAACCCCATATAAACCATCGTTTTTAGTTTTATTGTAATACAGGAAAGATGTTAATACAGATAAGTCTCAATATGCGCAATGAAGAAAAATCATATTTAACATATTCACATTTGAAACTAAATACAGTCGAGTGGATTAAGATATCTCTTATTAAGTGAAGGCAGAAGATAGACTGAATAAAATAAGAGTATGGTAATATTGCTGAAGTACGATGAGACAAATTTATTACACTTACGTAGTACAACCATTACGTAAATTTATGCTGCAAAAAGTCTAATTAACGGATGAAAACAAATTATCGAACCTGTTAAACGAATAGTTGGTTAGTACCGAAACGTTACTTATTTCATTCATAAAATGTAGCAAATCATACTAACTCACATAGAAAGTATACCAAATCACACTAATCCACAAATATTAAAAAAAAAACCTATTTCTTGTACGCCAAAGAGCACGTGATGTGGTGCAAGATCTGACGTGTAATCGTGTTAAAAATAAACTTATATATTTTATGCAACAGGCGACACAGAAAAGTGTCAGAACGGAAAATTTTTCCTTGAAAAACGATGATACTAAAATTTTCATTCTCTTTATGGACACAAAATTTACACCTTTTTGAAATCGAATTCGGAAAAATCTTTAATCTTACAAAGCTAACAAGTTAAATCGTAAAATTTCCATCATACGCGTAATGCACGTTAATGTAAATATGTTTTTTTGATGATTGACCAATATAAACCATCGTTTTTAATGAAAACTCCAATCTTTCAAAATTTGAAAAGGACTTATAAGCATAAGTAAACCTTCACATTCATTCACCACAAATTCGGTACAAAAAATCTCGGTATCATAACGAAATCTCGGGAAGAAAAAGAGTCATCATAATTTTTATGTTTGGCAAGCAATAACCGATATCCGACAAGTACTCCAAATTTTTTGGCAGCTGTTGCAGCGTAACAGCAGTTTTTCAAAATACTGAATGATTTAGCTTAATAGTGATCTCTTGCCGAGACCTCTGACCTCCTGAGAAATCATGAAGGAAAATTTCACTTTAAAAGCATAGCCTTAAAATTCTTCTCATGGTATTGCATGATAGAACGATTGTGTTCAAAATTGATCCCTTACTGAGATTACTCAGTTACCGAGAAATCTTGAAGTCATAAAATTTCACTTTGGAAACTGAGCACATTCACCGGGATTTACTTCGATTCAAATTCTCTACAGTCAAGATGGAATACGGTCCACGGAAATAAAGTGCATTATTATCTCGCAGCCATAACCAAATTTTCTTAAATTACCCGAATTCCATAACGAAATGAACAATTTCTTCAAATTTAAATGATTTTTGTAAATTTTACTTTAAAATATTTCCCGGGCCAGTTTATTCCATCCACTCGAATAATCCGTTTGCTTGGTGAAACAAAATTATGAATTTTTATCAAAATTTGGAATTTTTCAATTTCCAAAAAGCAATTGCTTTTTGAAGTTAAAAATTTATGAACAATTGTTCATAATTTTTAGCTTTTTCGTGGTATTTTGTGCTGAGGAAATGAAGAATGAAATAATTTTGCGAAGTATTTTGAACTTTTTGGAGGATGAAAAAAATTTTTGCAACCAAAAACGAATATTTATATAAATTTGATCAGTTAATTACTTCCAAAACTCTTCACCAACGAATGCAGAAAGTTAATAATTTGTGAAGAAATAATAATAGCATTACTAGCACTTTTGTGCATTTCACCTAGTATTTCAATATAAAACGAATGAGAAGTAAAGAATGATTTTTTGAATTTTTTTTTCTCTCCCTTCCATTTTAAACAAAGAATAACCTTGATTGGTTATAGATCGAAGGGAGAGACAGAAAGAAGGGAGCAAAAAAGAGAGAAAGAAAAAAAAAATGAAATTAATTTTATCGATTTACAATTTCCAAGTATCTTACTTTTTTTTCGGTCGCACCATATTTGTCATCGACCGATACTAAAATTTAAATCGAACTTGCATGATTTGCTATAATATAGCGAAGTTTGCATGTAAATTAAATCTTATTCAAATCTGAGCTGCATAATTATAAGAAAATGAAAAAAAAGCAATGAATTAAACTCGTCTTTTTAAATCTGTGAATGCAAATTTTCATGGAACTGGAAAATTGAGGATTTTTTCGAAAGTAGAAGTTTAAGATAAAATAAATTGTATTGCAAAATCATTTACTTCATCTTTTAGAAATTTTCGCAAATTTTCTCTCTTTCATTCCTCATTTTAATTTTCGATTTTTAATTTTGAATGAACAGAAAAAAAAAAGTTGGCAAATAATTAATCGAATGTGTCGTGTTCTATATTTTCGTATTAAAAGGACGTGAAATATTATATTTATAAGTGATGTAATGGACTAAGATTTATCATTATTATCTTTCATTTTAATTTGTGTTAGCTAAAATCCAAATTTTCTTGACAAATAAATTCAGTTTTAAAGTCGAATTAATTCTTTTCATGTTGAATGTCTCAACAATAATCGGAAAAGCAATTCAACATTATTCTTTTTCCAATTCTTTTTCCATAGAAAAAAAAATCCTAAAGATCAGGATATTTGAAAATGATCATTTATTTAGCTATTATCAATCATTAGTTAAATATATTTATCTTCTACTTCTATTTAAATATCCTGATCTTTAGGATTTTTTTTATCAGGAAAGTATGAATTGCCTATTATAATAGCTGTATTCGAGCAAAAGCTATCATAATTTCCGCTTTTATGCAGTATCACTTTTCAGGAAATATAATATCAGTTTGTTTCGAGCCCAAAATATCATAAATAAAAATCATTCTTATAATCAACAGTAATTCTTAAATTATCATGACTAAGATAATATAAATGAAGGCTATTCTCATGAAATCATAAAAAAAAAATAAATGAAGACTATTCTTATGAAATTATGGGATATCTGTAGCTTTCACATCATTCGTTTTGCGTAAATATTTTTTGGATATTAATTAAAATATTCACTTATTTTTTAGCTTCCGACACCGTCACATTCATTAAATTATATTTAATTTTATCCAATGTTATTTGTGAGTATTCCAGTATCAGTATTCCGATAAAATTATCGTTATTATTCGGGATAAACTATTATCGATTATAGTTATTTTTTCATTGAGGAAAATTAATTTTTTTTTTTTTTTGGATGGATGACATTATCTACTAATAAAACAGAATAATGTGAAAGGGAAAACTGTGAACAAATTATTTAATGCAAAGAATTAAAAGCAATTGTTCAAGAGCATAAAAAAATTAGGTAATTTATATTAATGCCAACTTTTTTCTTCTTTTTTCGATAGTGTTAATGTATTTTTTCAGAAATACCAATCCTACACATTTTAGTCAATTAATTAATTTCACCTGAAATCATCTAAGGATAATTAATCTAATGTCTAAGTACAGTAAGGTCAATCCATTTATCAAAAGATTCTTGAAAGATAGTAATTTTAATTCGATCATTTAATAATTTTGTTTCTTTTCATATCATTCTTCCTTACTGATATTTTACTAATTACCTGCAAAAACATAAAAAATTGCTACGAGAGAAGATATTTTGAGAAACGCTACGTTAATGGATGAAAAACACTTTATTGCTCATTGAATTAAATAAAGCTTGATTTAACCTGCCAACTAATAAATTATATGAATTAGCGTATGCTATCGGAAAAGTAATATTTATAATATTTTACACAAATTTGTAATTACGGAAATGAGTAACCCTAAATGACTGAAGAGTTACGAAAAATATCTCTTAATTTTAAAAAAATCAAAAATTAACTCTAATTTTATAATATATTGTGATGATACGTTAGATCTTTGCTTTCAAATTTTATTTTAAAATTTAAATTTCATTTTTTCAAAATAAGAAATTTACGCTGCGAAAACAAAAATTGTATTAGTCGTCTCTTTATAGCAAAATACTGAAAGAATTAATCCCAGTAAATAAAAACTCGAAATCTACTTTTAGGTCTAAAATTTCAAAATCTAAAATCTACTTTTTAAAAAACTCAAAATCACCTACTCATTTACTGGAAATTGCAATGTTTTAGGGACTACAATTTTCATTTAATGATTCAGTTATGGTGATCAAGAAATGATCATCGTTGCGCAAGCCTATCAACATGGCATAGATCAAATATGATGGTGGGAGAGTATTGCGGTTAGAGAATGAAAGTCGGGGAGATCTGATAATACGGAGAGGGTTATTAATTCATAGAAGGTTGGGGAAAAAGCATGAGGGAGAGAGAATTTGCATGTATGATGATAGCGATGTGATGAGAGTATTATGGAGTGTTGATAATGAAAGAGATGGTGAGGATTGATAGGATTTGTGAAATATCACATTATAACGGAGTAAAAGAGAGAATGATAAGAAAAGAATCATCGATCATAATGATAGCAAAGATTGAGAGCATTTGAAGGGAGAAACAAAGGAAACATTTTTCCTAGTTGTTTCAATAGGGCTGGATGGGAAGCAATCTTTTCGTATGGATGAACTGTTTTATTTCTTGTTAATTATCTTATCAGGCTTTAGTATGATAGTAACGAGAATATTATGAGTAATTGTTGTTAGTTACCTTATCACTGATACTTTTCATTATTTCATTACCATTTTTATTTATCATTTTATTGCCATTTTATTAACATTCAATGGGTCATATATTGCATAGAATTATTTATCATTTTTCGTTTGTCATTCTATAATCGAAATAAATTGGGTTTCAAAAATATTAGAGTTCAGAGTTTAGATCTCTTTTACTGCCATAAGATAGTATAGAAGGATAGGTGATACGTTTTTCTGTTCGATAGCAGGAGAAGAGGAAGAGAGGAATGAGATATGAAGTAATAAAAACGAAAATTATCATCTCTTATGACATTATCATTTGTATGATTCAATAGATAATTTCAAGGGAAATTGGATTTTCAGGAATCTAGGAGTCATCGGATTTATTTATTACTAAAATGAGATCGAAATTTTACATGAAATAGTAGAATATTTCAAAAACTTACTTGTGAAGTATTAAATTAAACTTATCAGCAGAAGTTTCGATAATGTAATTCTTACCAGCAGCAATATAATGTTATTATTTTCCCTTACCATCATCACTTGTTATTGTGATAAGCCAAAATGTTCGATAATCTTTTTGACATTCCCGAATTATGATTCCAGTACTGACATTATGTGTAAGAATCAGTGGAACACATATAACTTATCAGTTCTTCCCTATCATCGTTGATTGTAATAAAAAGTAAATATTCTATTGTCATTGGTGTCTTGGTTTAGATTGTGTTTCATTGATTGAGCAAAAATTCAGGATTAAATGTCTCAAATCATGACATCAGATCAGAAATTCATAAATTTAAATATAATTATTTAAATATATAACATTATTTTAACTACAATGTTAAAGTTAATTGAGATAATTTAATAAAATGTATCGCTAGAATATAATTAAAACTCTGATGTGATACTTTTTGCTGTAAACAGCTGTCATACTACTTAAGAGAAAGATTGACATGCTTTTCAGTTTAGTTATGTTCTTTTTTTAATTGATTTTTTCTTCTGTCAAAAATAATGGAGAAGTTAGGATGAATAATAACGTTAAAATTATATTCTTTCTTTACTAATTTCTTCCTCATCTGTTTATCAACAGCTGATTACCTTTGATTTAATTTATAATTTCAGAATTCATTCTTAGCATTCCATTTTTTTATATTTAATATGTAGTTTATTTCGTAGGTATTGCTCATTACATTCTTACTATATGCACTTTTAAATTTCCTTTTTACCTTGCTTCATTAAATCTACACTCAACTTTACCGAACCATTAGGAGTTATTCTCTTTATTTAATTTTTCTTTTTAAATAAATTTTCAATATTATTAGATATGTTGTAAAAGAAACACTCAAACCCATTTCACAGCATAAACTTATCAGTTTTACCCTTTCCAAATTTCTAATTTACTTAGAGCTCATTTTTTTTCGTCATTTTTAAATCTTAGTTAGGTAGACTTTGAGAAAACAGTAGCATTGAATAGAAATTAAAAAGTGGCAATTAAATTCATAAGAAATATATCTGCAGGTTAGTCTAAGTTATAGCTTCACTTATTATAAAGATAAAAGGACAAGTGGTCTTTGAATTTAGATTCGATTCAGATTTGGGATTTGAAACTTTAAAAACTAAGATTCATATGTATATTGTGATATGATCAGCGCTTTGGTTACACAATCAACTTTTTTTTGCATTTTCTTAATTTTAATTTTTGATTAGCGACTGAATTTTTTTTTCCATTCCTTGTCAAACTTTTTACATGTTGTTTTTTTCCATATTTTATTTTTCCTTTCCTTTCCACTTTAGGTCATATTTCGATATCGAGTAATAACACACATCGGTTTGTTTTTTCTTCTAACGAGTTTTATTAATTTTTACTCCCCTATTTTAGGCTACAAATTGTCCAAGGATTTTTGCAGAAAGTTATCAGTACAAATTTATAGTATGATAATTAAATTTAGCGAAAATGAATGTAAGTTCAGTGTGGTTCCTTATAACTGCATATATTTTTTATATACCTTCCTCGTACTAAGGATTATAATATTTGATTGGTTATAATATGATACCAGAAACAACTTTATTGAACAACTTCAATAAGTCTTTGACGGAACTTCTTTAATATTCGTTTTTAATTAGCCTAACAAATATTTTCGAATATGTTAGAGTTACGCTTCCAAAATTGAAATAGGTTATTCTAGAGTGTGACTACTTAGGTTCACAAGTAAATATATGAGTGCTTTTTTGAGGAAACTGGTAAGCTGAATTAATGTAGAATTAATAATCTGATTTGTACGTTTTTAGGCTGAATTGCTGAAAGCTGTGCTGTTAAATGATCTGAGGTTATTACAAGGGTGTATAGAGAGAGGTATTGATGTTAATGAAGTGGATGAGAATGGAACGTCTCCGTTACATTTAGCAAGCTTTTATGGATATCATCCAATTGTGAATGCGCTTATTGATACACGTGCAAGAGTTGATGCACGTGATCGAGAATGGTTCACACCGCTTCAGAGGTTTGCTTAATATCTTCGAAATCTTTCCTTTTAATTTTATAAAGGAATTTTCACACTGCTACATAAGTACAGCCAGCCTGTTGCATCCCAATTCACTATCATACAATTCACTATCATGTTTATTGCAAAACTTTTATAATAAGTTAATGTTTCAAAAATTTTGTTGAAAGAA